AGGGGAGAAGGGGGGGCCTGTGTGGCTTAGTGGTTGAGTGTCGACCAGGAGGTCATGGTTCGATTGCTGGTCAGGGCACATGCCCAGGTTGCTGGCTGGATCCCCAGTAGGGAGCATGCAGGAGGCAGCCGATCCATGATTCTCTCTCAGCATTGATATTTCCCTCTCTCTCCCTCTTCCTTCCTCTCTCTGAAATCAATTAAAAAAAAAAAATTTAAAAAAAAAAAAGAGAAGCGGGGGAGGAGGAGGGAGGGAGGATGGAGGGAGAGAGAGGGAGAGAGAGAGGAGGGGAAGGGAGGGCAGAGAGAAAGAGAGAGGGGGAGAGAGAGAAGGGAAGGGGAGGGGAAGGAACAGAGAGAGAGAGAGAGAGAGAGAAGGGGAAGAAGGGGAAAGGGGGCACTTTTGCTATTAAAATGTGTTTTCCCATGAACACAAGGCTTTCCACAAAGCAGGCACTCAGTATATGTAAGTAGTGAACCTAATTTTACTCCCTGGAATACATTAGAATCTTGTTTGTTATGATACTAAATTCTACTGGGTGGACCAGGCATTCAAGAGGGGGCCGTTCTTCCATCTTATGATTTCCACTTTCAGAAGTGTAGGAGGGTGGATCCAAACATAATCAGTCTTAGGCAAAACGAAAGAGTGAAATCTGCTTTCCCTTTCCGGTTTCTCACCCTCCTGGGACCCAGGGCTCTCAAACCGCTTCCCTGGCGCCCAAACCCTGGCTGTGGTGCGTCACTTAAAGCGGCCATCCCGTGTAGCCGTTTCTGCTTTCCTGACATGCAGTAACACTGGCCGTCTACCTCATCCCCGGATAAATAACTGGTTAGCAAATCCAACTAAAAAGCAATTTGCAATAATGTAAAAATAGAGCATTTGTTTTGTGCCATCCAGATTTTAAATATGTTGTGTAAGGACAGGCGATGTATATCCATATTCCAGAATACATATTTTTATATGAAGAAATGACTAGTAGGAAGAATGTTAGGTGCCAGTACCACAGCATGAGATTAATGAAATGCTCTTTGGGAAAGGGGATGGACAATGGGGAACAGGGAGGCAGAAACATAGGACATCTTCAGGTATCCCCAACCCCAATGAATAGCAATCTTGTGGGATCTAGTTTAAATAAGCTTCAGAATACATTTCTCTTCCAACTCAGTTTTTAAGATCATAATTTGGTTCTTAATGTTGTAGGAAACTGTTAGCATTTCCTAATCTCATTCGCTACTTAGGTAATAGAAGTACTATTTCATGTTTCTGAGTCTACCCAGTCATTACTTTTTGATTACATCAAAAATCAAAAAGCACCCTAAAAAGCCATTATATCCTGAATTGGTTGAAGAAGCAAGATGGGAAGGGGGTTTAAATAAAATTGGGGTGAGTAAACTACTAATAACCCAATTCTGAGAAGTTATAATGAGTGGTTATGTACCTGGCAATGAAAAGTTATATGTCTGCTCAGAAAGAACTGTCTTTCAATGGCCAATACGTCATTTTTTAAACACAGTGACAGAAAGAAATTTTAACCCACAGCTCTTTCTGTTCTTATCCCAGTGTGCTTTGGCTAACATCACTTCATTTTCAAACTGCTATTTAATATCACTCTCTTGCTCTTTTAGCCACTTGGGTGTGCGTGTTTTTTCTTTCATAATAAAGGTATCTTGGTACTTTTCTTCAAGTTCCACCTGCAGCTTGCTTATACAGTCTTCTCTTTCCTCCAATAGCTGTTCCTTTAAACAAAATCCAAGTAAATATCTCTGTGTAACACTAATATTCTCCAAGTCAAATTTATAAAATAATGGTTACATGTATGCAATAGAGAGCAGAAACAGACACAAATGATCTTTCCAAATACTGTCAACTGGTCGAAGGAACTGCTTGTAAAGGCCTGTATACATCTCAAATATTAGATAAAAAAATGTACGGTGGCTCTATGAAAAGAAAAAAATCTAATATAATAAATATATTCCCAGAAGACGAAATACTCTTTTTAAAAAGTGAAACTGCCATTTACACCCCACCCATCAAGGGATTTTATCAGCTATCATAGACCAGAAAAAATTTACATTTCTGAAAGCCTTATACTTTGAGATAAGCGAAAAATTACTGCTCCATACTAAAAGCTATGCATTCTGTGATAAATCCAAATTGGGATTTTTCATTGCCAAAGACAAAATGTTTTCTATCAAAACTAGCTAAAGCATTATCAAATAAGAACTGTCAAGTGTGTTTCTAAGCTATTCATAAATAGTCTCTGTGCATTCTAGGAACCCAGTTCATCTGAAAACTGGAATCCCTTGCGTTATGTTACATCACTGCAAATAAAACTCTTCTCAGGGGTCAAAATTGTTATGGGGAAATTTTTAGGAACAGTTTCCTTGAGATGCCACTGAGATGCCGTGAGCAGCTACACACGAACGCCCACAAACCACAGTGCCAGAGAAGTGCACCTCACACACCCACTGCCTGCGGCAACTGAGCTTTTGCTCTGTAGCTCTTGGCATTATTTCTAATTCATGATTACTGGTTGTCTGGGTTTTTTCTGGTTCACAGTTGACCTGGACTATTTGTCTTAATTGCTGGTGTATTCCTCTCCACCACTGGCACATGCCGAGAATATGGTCTCTGTATCTGTTCAGCGCTCTGTGATTTCGGAAACTCTCCGGTGACTGAGGGACCCATTTCTGCACATTCAGGTCTTGGAGCCTGCAGCTGTACTGACTGCAGGACAGTCTTACTCACACGGGTGAGAAGGTTGTCCAGTGTCACATCACGTAACACTGGTATTATTTTTTGTTTGACTACAAAAGAAATCCTCAAATTTTCCTCTGTGTGTGTCTATCCCTCCAGAGTTGTTTCCATATGTATCTGCATTGCCTTTGGATCCACATCAGAAAACTGCTGCCAATTTTCTCTGAGTTTGTGGGTATATAGTTAATTTTGCTACATTATAAACCAGCCAAAATTTAGTCACTGAAAACAACAAACCTCTCTTATTTCTCATGATTCTGTGGGTCAGCCAGAGCATGGCTCTGGTCTTAGCCAATGCAGCTGGTCTCTGCAGGTAACTGGGCTACCTGGCCTAAGCGGGCCTCACTCATATGTCTGGTGGTTAGTGTGATGTCTCCAAGGACAACGGCGATGACTTGATCACGTGTCATCACCCAATAGGTTATCTCAGATCATTCACATGGTGGCGGCCACAGGGTTCCTAAGAATACCAGGTTTCCAAAAGCCCCAATGCATCAATGCTTTCTAAGCATCTTTTTGCATAATATTTGCTAATATCCCATTGACCAAAGTAAGTCATGTAGCCAACATCAAATTCAAAGCTGAGAAACAGACTCTAACCCTTACTACCTTTTATTGAGAACAGCCACAAAGTCACACTGCAAGGGGACGTGCATTCAGGGGTAGGAAGAAGGTCTGGCCATTTTGCAATTGACCACAGTGAGGAAAACCTTGCTTTCCTCTCTTCACAGAGAAAAATAGTAGATTTATTGGGTATAGGGATCTGCCACCTGAACATACTACAGAAATATCTAATTCAGAAGGTTTAACCACTAAAGGGAAAGAAATATTTGGATAGTTTAAAACATTTACACTTGTTTTGCATGGCTCCAACAGCCGAATACCCTCTAACTTGTAAGGGCTGACTTAGCCTGCATTACAACTAAATACATGAGGCTTACTGTGCATAAGAATGGCATTATGAATGGGAATATTGAACATCTCTGCCTTGTCTGTGAGTCTGAAGGGTTTGTGTGCCTGACTGTTTTTCCCTTTCTCTGAACAAGCCAGGTTAACATGTGAGGAAAAGTTCTGTGTGTTAATAGCAGCTTTAAAACTTGGAATTGAGCTCCTTCTTAACCCCCAGCAGACTCAGCAATTGCTTCAGAAAAGAGCACATATGAAATAGGAAAATGCAGCCTTGGACTCCTGGTGTTGACTGTCTTATAAATTCTGTATCCAGACTAAGTCCCTGACCTGAAGCTCAGTGGCAGGAAAAATGGCTTATGCCCTGCAGAGAAGGGCTACCCCAAAAGTCCCTTAGTTTTCTCCAGAGTCTAATAACATTCTTCCACTGTGAGTGTGAAATATATCATAGGAAAACAGGTTGGTATATCTTTACCTACCTCTGAAGGATATGAAATAATTAAGGTCTCTTAAGTTTAAACTTCTGTTCTAACTGGCTTCTCAAGACTCATAAGCCTTATAAAGGGCTTACCTACATCTAAATAAACTAAAGAAAAGGCAGGAATTAAATAAACTTCTCATGCTTTAAGTAAATTGGCCCGTTAAGTTTGGGAGTGTGTAACTACAAAGGGACAGATAGCACAAGGGACTATTCCAGGGTGAGGAAACTGTTGTGTATCCTGATCAATCTATACACATGTTAAAAACATATAGAACTGTATCCCAAATTTAAAAATGAGTCAGTTTTACTGTTGGACAATTTTTAAATTTTAAAGAAAAAAATTTAACCTGTGTCTTTGGAAAGGCCAAAGAGCAGTTTTGACTTTCCTTCTTGCCCCAGTGTAAGCACTCAAGAGCCAAAGTATCGGTCTCTAACAGCTATTAATTGCAACCGACCAACATGACATCCAATTTTACAGCCAAAGTAATACTTTTTTTTTTTTTAACCCTCACCCCAAGATACGTTTTTATTGATTTTAGAGAGAGGAAGGCAGAGAGAAAGAAAGAGAAACATCAATGTGAGAGAGAAACACTGATCAGTTGCCTCTCACATGCGCCCCGGCTGGGATCAAACTAGCAACGTAGGTATGTGCCATGACTGGTCACTGAACCTGCAACCTTTTGGTGTATGGGACGATGCCCAGCCAACTGAGCCAACTGGCCGGGGCCAAACTGATTCTTCTGAAATTACCAGGAAATATATTCCTGAAAAGAATGACTCCTTTGAGAGAATTGCTCTTATGTTCTTGCCAATTTATATATTTTCTTAAAAAAAGAAAGAATCACACTAGAGATCTTCCCCCTATTTTAATTTTTAAAACATTACTGAAAGCTATGTCCTTAATTTCTAGGTAATTTAAGATCCCTTCTAACTCGTACACTGCCAGCACTAACTAAAACAGGTCCTTTTAGAACTTATTTTTCCAATACACGATATGTATACATGGCATGTTTTTTTTACCGTATTAATCTACTCAAAAATAATCAAAATATTAAATGAATCGAGTTCCTCACCTGCTCTTTGCTATTCTTTTTAAGTCTGTGGTAGCAATAGCTTGCTTTAATGTAACTTATTCAAAAACCTCTGTCTAGAACATTTACTCAGGCCTTTAAAAATATTTTCTAATCTTGACGCAGGTGGCTTTCAAACTGTGGTCTGTAGCTGGTCCAAAGCGGGAGTCAGCTGTGTGTCTGGATGAGGCTCTGGCCAGGAGAGGGAAGACAAGAGGAGGTGCAACTCTTTACATGTGGCTTGACTCCTGGACACTCACCAATGGCAACTTGGAAGATTCAGGCAGGAGTAGAGAGTCCACGGCAGCCCCTCCCGTTTCCCTGGAAGAGGTCACACTAACACTGACCTTTCTCTCCACAGCCTCCGGGCCACCACCTTCCCTGCCATGAAACCAAAGTTCAAACGCCTGCTCTCCCCCCAGAATGAAATGATGCTTCAATACTGGCAGAGAAATGGGTCAGAGGAAAACGTCTCTGAAGGAATACTTTGAACAGGGCTCACAGAACTAGGTAGGGTCGCCCGAGTAGCCAACAAGCAAAACGTAAAATAAGGGTCCTTGGGTTTCGGACCCAAAGTAACTCAGGTCCACTCTTATTTTCAGAACTCATTTTTGCCTCCTAGAATAAATCGATGTGGAAGAATGATTTTCTCCTACATGTGCCAATTCCTAAGAAGCTTTTAATAACCATCTCAACACTTAACTGTATTTTGTGAGCTCTATTAGTGTGATATAGCCAAAGGAAAGAGACTTCTACCTACGCCTTCCCCACTGCACAAGAGAACAAACTCACCGGTTTCAATGACAACGGGGAGACCGGAGAGGTCAACAGAAGGAAACACAGTGGGAACATGTACTTTACCTTCTCCCGAGCCTGCTGCTCCTTTTCAATGGTCTTCCTGAGCGTCGATTCGAGATTATCCTTCTCTTTGCACACTTCCAGGTAGCACTCCTGCACAGCAGCCATCTCCTTAATCACCTTATCTAGTTCAGACCTGGGAGACACAAAACCAGCAACTGAATGACAGCAAAAGCATACAAGGGCCGCAGCACAATTCTCTCTGAACGAGGAAAGGGGCAATGTTGTCTTATAGTTTCAAGGGCAGCTAGACTTTTATTCTCACCTAAGTTGCAAGCGAGTCCCCTCATAAACCTCAAAGAGCTGCTGCCTCTCCAAAGCATGCTTTGCCAACAGGCTCTCGCGAATCTGGGCTTTCACAGCTTCGTGGTGCTGCTGGTAAGTCCTCTCGCACCTGTGAGCAAGACGGACAGCAGGTCCTAAGGCAGTGCCCTGCGATACTAGGAACACCGGGGCCACCTGGTTTCCCTTCCTTTCCCCCACTCTTCTCTAACGCAAATTATAGTTTAGGTCAGATGGGTTTTCCCCAGCCAAAAACGGTAATAATTAATTTTCTCTCTTTTTTTAAAAAATATATCTTTATTGATTTCAGAGAGAGGAAAGGAGAGCGAGAGAGAGAGAGATAGAAACACCAATGATGAGTCATTGATGGGCTGCCTCCTGCACGCCCCCGACTGGGGATGGAGCCCACAACCTGGGCATGTGCCCTGACCAGGAATCGAACCCCGATCGCCTGGATCCTAGGTCGATGCTCAACTGTTGAGCCACACCCGGCCGGGCATTTTTCTCAATATATAAGAATCTCTTCAAATTTTTTTCTTCTTCTAATGTTTCCAGAAAAAAAATAGAAACTTGGATGTCCCAGTCATTCAAATGGAGTTAATAGTCTCTGATGAACTTGTTTATAAAAAAATGAACTGATATAATCCAGGGTGTGGTTCCAACACTGCAAGTCATCTACATTAAACAGAAATGCTTAGCAGTACCAAACTCACAAGTAAGTTATGCTCCAAAAGTCCATTTCTAAGGTTACGATTTGGTATTTGAAAGACATATACCCTCTCATAGATTCCTTCCTTATAAAGAATAGCCTTTAAAACATTATTAAGCTATACCGTCTCAATGAACCACCATTTGATGGAACTATAGAATCCAACGCACTACGTAACATCACTTCTATGGAAAATGAGTTCCAAATTCTAATTTGAGAAGCCAGGGACTCATCTTCTCCAATCCAAGGTCTCAATAGGGAGGGTTCACTCCATCAATTCTCTGGAATCTTTTTTTCAGGTGGGAGGGGAGGAGGATTGGAGAAAAGATAAAGGGAAGGGTGCCCAGGAGGCAGGCATTAGGCTTCTACATAGAATTTACCTATCAACAGTTTCTTGTTTATCACGGTCAAAATCTTGTACCATTTGTCTCATTTGATTACATAAGTCCTGATTTGTGGTTCTCAGTTTTTCTTCAGTTTCTTTAAGTGCCTAGATACAAAAGAATAAAGTACTTAGTAGAAATAAACATTTTCAATGATTAGTCTAATCTCACTTTTTAACATCATCTGTACTTTAGCTCTACCCTGTAACATTATCTGACATATCATTTTCATAATTCTACAAAAGTGTCTTCATGCCTTGATAAGAGAACAGAATCATTTATTTGACAAGGAGCTTTCTGAAAGAAGTAAAAATTGAAATTTTGTATTTAATTTGAAATATATGAAATGAGAACACTTAACCAGAGAAGTATTGGCTAACTGATGCCTTAAAATAAGTCTCCAAATTAACAGTCTTCTGTAACCTTCTAAATATGCAAAGTTTTACTTTCTGGTCGAGGGCTGGCTAAGGCGGAAAGAACACCTCTATTAGTCATGCTACTGTATGGACAAAAGACTGGATTTACACTAACCTTCTAATGAAGAAACTACTACCCGCGACCAATACTAAAGGGAAATAGATGGAATCCTTAGCCACCTACTAATATCCTTGTCTACTAACTCACATTGCCTCTGTGTTTTTGAAAAGTCTATTATATGCTTTGCATTTAAAAAGGCCATGGAAATTCTGACAAAATATTTAAAAATTTTTTAATTACCTGATTTTGTTGTTGCAAAACTTGCATTTCATCTTTAAGTCGCAGAATATCATCTTTGACAATCATTTCAGAAGTAGAAGTGTCAGGCCATAACAGATTAGTTGGTTTCTCTGAGGTATCTGTTTTAGGCTAAATGTTTTAAAAAAGTCAAAAGTTTTTCAGGTTTCTAAAAAAAGTCTAAGAACTTGTTTTGAAATAATGTCACACTTATAAGGAAATTACAAAAACAGTACAAATAATTTCCATATACCTTTCACCATCGTCCCCAAATATAAGAGCCACAGTACAATGACCAAAACCAGGAAGCAATACTATTAACTAATCTACAGACCTTATTCAAAATTTTCTAATTTTTCTCGAATGTTCTCTGGTTCAGGGTCCGATCTATGATTCCACATTGCATTTAGTTGTCACATCTCCTTAGTCTCCTCCAGTCTGGGACAGTTCGTCAGTCTCTGTCCTTCAAATCCATGGTATTTTTGAGTACTAACCAATTATGTTGTAGGGTGTCCCTCGACTTCTTTTTTTCTGATGTCACTTCATTAGTAAATGCAGCTTATGCATTTTTGGCACAAATGCCACAGAAATTACGTGCATGCTTTTCAGGGGAGACATGATACCAATAGGTCTCGTCACTGGTGATGATCAGTTGATGGCGGCAGTGTCTGCCGGCACCTCCACTGTACAGTTACTATTATCCACTTATAATTCATAGTATCTTATAAGGAGATAGTTTGAGACTCTGCAAATATTCTATTTTTCTTCATACTTTCACCCACTAAATTTAGCATTTATTTATTTATATAATCAGTATTGATTCATAGATACATATTTTACTCACTAGGTACAATTTTAAAGACTCATGATAATAGACTCTGGCAAATTTTTTCCAGAAAGCTCATACAAATGTATGCTCTCATGAGGTTGTCCAGCTCTTAACCTCCAATGGCAGTGACTGTCTGGAAATAATGTTTGCATTTGATGGGGCAAAGGGTATCTAGCAATTGCTTTCATTTGCATGCCTTCTATTGCCATCAGAGTGGAACCTCTTACATACATACCTTCATTGTTCATTTGTTTTACATCTGCCCAAATTTGTCTGTTAATATGACTTTATTTTATGAGTTCCTTATTTTATGAGTTCTTTATTCACTGAGGGGCCACAAAGATTTTTTTTTTAAATACCTACATTATTGGACTTGTTGGTTAATGTATTTACCCCAACCCTGAGCTCTCTTACACAATGTTTAAAAAATATCCTGTACCAAGGTTCATTCTACTCATTGGGGAGGAAGAAGTATGTGTATCTCATGTCCATGGGGGGTGACAAAACACCAAAGCTATAATCAGCCTTTATGGAAATTGATGAGACACCTAAATGTTTTTGGCCTCATTAAAGATTTCAGCAGGACTGCGCTTACCCAACATGGATTTCTATTCACATGTCCTACCAGCTTATTTGCTACGTTCTTTTAAAAAAAAAAAAAAAAAAATGTCTTTATTGATTTGAGAGGAAGGGAGAGGGAGAGGGAGAGAAAGAGATAGAAACATCAATGATGAGAGAGTCATTGATCGGCTGCTTCCTGCACGCCCCCTGCTGGCGATCAAGCCCGTAGCCCAGGCATGTGCCCTGACCCAGCATCGGACCGCCATCTCCTGAATCATGGGCCAACTGCTGAGCCACGCCAGCTGGGCTATTACATTCATTTATTTACATCTGCTCAAGGTTGAAGTTTCCCTTCCCACCTGGCTCTCCTAGATTCATCCTTCAGGACAGAAATCAATTGTTGCCTCCTCAAAAACATCATTACCATTCGCCATCCACCCTCGCCCCCAAGCTGTTAGTTTTCCTTCTCATAGCACTTTGTAACTAGCATCACCCTTATCACACTAAGTAGAAGTGTCCATCCCATTACCGAGCTGTACTGTTGAATATGGCAGCCATTACCCATGTGTGGTTATGGACACTTGCAAGGTGGCTTGTCCAAACTGAAATGTGCTGGTAAGTAGAAAATACACACCAGATTTCAAGGACTTAGCACAGGCACACAAAAATGCAAACCATCTTATAATAATTTTATACTGATTACATACTGAAAATATTTTGTATATACTGGGTTAAATAAAATATATTAAAGTCAATTTCACTTATTACTTTTACTTTAGTGCAAACACTAGATTTTAAATTACCTATGTGACTCCACTGTATTTCTATTGGATGGTACTGTTCTAGACACTAAGTTCCTTTAAGAAAATGGCCATTGTTTCTTTTATCATTGAATCCCACAAGACCTTGCACAATGCAGCTTAAAAAAAAAAGTTTAAACTGCATAATTTGTTCTTTCTCCACATACCTCCCAATCCTGTTGTCTGACTTTAAACAACTAAATAGAAAACTCCATTAGAAATGATATGGGAAGTAAGTGAAAAAGGCATTTGAAGGTGTCCATGGGCTAATTAGATGTTTGCGAACTTGAGTGTTTATTTTAAAAAACCACCTCTTGGCTAAATTACTGTATCCTCTCCCATTCCCCCATCTAGGAAGTGGATCGATGTGTGTATTAATTCAACAAATGTTTCCTGAGGAAATATGCAGAGAATTATCAACACAATCCTCACAAGAATTTCCTATATAGTAGGCTGAAGCAGAACTGACATAAGCAGCAAGGGCTGAAGTCACATTTTAAGAAAAACTGAATGCAGACTGCTGGAAAAGCGCTCTAGCAAAAGAGAAGCTGGACGAAAGGAATATTCAAAGAGGAGATAACTCCCTTTGCTTTATTGATCAACTAGACTACAGAGGCAAAGGGACAGGCTAAAACTAAGGAACTACATAGGGCACGACCATCATCACCGCCACATGTGAAAGTGTATCTGTAAGACCAATGCCATCAGTAATTTCAATATAAAACGCAGAAGGCACCAAGATACCTGAGCTCAGGTTCAGGCTCACAATCAGGTTCCTACTCTCCTAAATCTTAGCATATTCTCACCAAAAAAGCTTAAACTAACTCTGATCTAACACAAATTGAGACATAAACTTTCATTCCCATCCTTTTTAAGAAACATATGGAAATAGTTAAAACGGTTTGATTTAAAGATGTTAGATGTGCTGGGGAAAAGGGGTTGCTCTCATTGGGTTGTTAACACTGAAATCAATGTTGTCCTCATCAAAGATACTCAGAAGAGGGAACCAGACTGGGCAGGCCTTTAACAGTAAGATCACACTATTATTTCTGGAAAATAAATTAGACGCAATTAAAATTCCACAATAATAAGGCGCCGCAGAACATCCTGCAAACTTTGTTTTAATAGCACTGTTTTAAGGAACACGGTTCCTAGTTTAAAGGATTGGGAGATAAAACAGTACTAACATAGGAAGTAAAACATTATTTCCATCTAGGAGTTAAAGGAATGCACCATCTACATTAATTTTCCTCCTTCCCTTTCCTTTTAGTTGCTAAGTCTCTTCGCACTTTTTTCTATTGGGCGTACAGATGGGTTTGAATTTGTGAAAAGGCAGCTGTCCAAGGAGGGCCACCCTAAAGATCTCTGTGACAGCACCATCCTGGGGAAACAGCAGTCACCTATTTATTATTCAAGTGTTTTCATTTAATCTTGCCTCGAGATTGGCTCCGTAATCCCAGGAGGGTCGCAAACTGCTCCAGCTCATTTCCTCATCTATCAAGTAAGGAGGGTAACTGATGGATCTAAAGGTGGGTCAACGACTCTGACACAGCCTGATTCTGTGCCTCTCCCCCCGTAACACCACCATTACATAATCGATGTCCTTACATAGAATGACTTTCATTATAGAAATATGGCCAGAGAAATCTCACGGACAACATGCCCACTGGAGAATTTAGCTAGATATTAGGTAGAATTTAGTGCATGTCGGTCCAAGCCAATCTTGAGGAAATGCAGGCACCTTGTTACATAGGATGGATGCCTCCTTGGATTTGTGATAAAAAAAATCTTATCTAATTGGCATCTCATTTACTAGGTGCCAAGGGTAAGCAGAAAATATATTCCTTTAAGTGGCATTTCCTTCTCTAAATTTTACTTCTAAAAAAAGTCAAATGAACTCCTGAAAGACAAAGGTTTAATTTACATGTGAGAATTGTAAGCATCTCCTTTATTAAGCCTTTTATTAAGCGTACGAACCTCAAGCTCCATGCTTTTTAGACCCTTCTCCACTTGCTGTAGATCTTCGATTTTCTTCCGACAGCCTTTGAGATCACTCTGCAACTGAGACACCAGGCGGCGCTTCACCGAGTTGCTGTCCAGCAAACGCTGCACTTCTGCTTTCAGCTTCAGGATCACCTCATCTTTGGAAAGCTCTTTATTTGGGTCTTCTTGTTGAGCAATACTAATGGAGAAATTACCATATTTAAAATTAAATGAAGTAACAAATCAAGCGTGGTTACTCCTTAAATGCTACTAACTGCAATGGTGGCCATGTGTTGTGACCTATACAACTATATACTATCATTTCAAGAACAATTTTAAACTTGGTCACACACAAGGATGTCACTTTTGCTATGCCCTCAGACACAGGAATGCATTTATTTATTCATAAGAAGACCATTCTACAGCTGAGTGCTGCTGCCTCATTGAAAGTTCAGTCACATGTGCCCAGCCGGGCGTGGCTCAGCGGTTGAGCGTCAACCTAGGATCCAGGCGATCGGGGTTCGATTCCCGGTCAGGGCACATGCCTGGGTTGCGGGCTCGATCAATGACTCTCATCATTGATGTTTCTCTCTCTCTCTCTCTCTCTCTCTCTGAAGTCAATAAAGATATATTTTTTTTTAAAAAAGTTCAGTCACATGAACTTCAGTAGAGCACACACTTGCGTTTGGTAAGCTGCACGATGTATGTGCATGTCCTTTATGACTTCAACAGAAATAACACAAAAACAAAGCAGGAAAAAATAGTAAATACAAGCCATCCTAACCTACAATTTCTGTATCTCTTTGACTAAAAACACAAGTCTGAGTGGATATCTGAGCAACTGGGGGAAAAAAATAACAAAAATAAAAGCCATTTCATCTCAACTTTAGTTTCAATAAATTTCAGAATTGGAATGAGAATTTCTGTTCCTTCTTGTGACAGATTAAAAGAGCCAGATTTTCCTGTCTTAAAAAACTAGAAAACCAAATAAAATATATGAAACAATGATTTCCCATTATTAGGTAATAGGCAGCAGAGCACAGTGACCCCTGAGAACAGGAAAAGAGGCAAGGTGAGCCTCTGATGTCACACTTGGTGCCTGCAGAGCTTCCGGGGCGGGGCGCGGGGACAGCCCAGACAGGCCCAGCATCTCACTGAGCTGCAAAGGCTTCAGCGTGGGGAGGGCAAGGCGGCTGGAATTTGAGGAGGAAAGGGAAGCCACACCGAGAGCTCTAGAGACCCGCGTGAATGTGAGGAAATCACCTCAAGGCCAGGGAAAGAGCCACCGGAAAGACTGGGGCTGGGAATATTTGTATTCCAATGAGCCACAGCGGAGAGACTCCTAATCCACAGGGCATCAAATACTGCCTGAGTAATGGGGCCAAATTAGCCCCAGGTTAAAGGTTGCTCTAACCCTAATCTAACAAAACCCACCAAAAAAGGCCTCCAAAGGATATAATGGATTCCAGGGAACTTAACTGTGTCACAGAAAAAGAATAACAATACGTTTAAATATACAGTAAAATCCAACATGGAAAATATAAACTTTTAAATGTCCAACATCCAATCAAAATTTACCAGACATGCAAATAAGCAGGAAAGAAAATAACCAGGAGATAAATCAATCAATAGAAAGTGAACCACCAACGACACAGGCAAGAGAATTAATTAAATATATAACATATGTTCAAGAGGGTAGGGGGAAAAACACAATGAGGAGAGAAATGGAAGGCATAAAAAAGGCTCAAACTGAACTTATAGAGACAAAAAATTACAATATCTGAAATGAAAGATATACTGGATAAGATTAATAGCACAGTTAACATTGCAGAAAAGACGATCAGTGGACACTAAGATATAGCAGTAAAACTTTACAAAATTAAACACAGAGAGAAGACAAAAACTGAAATACACAGAGCATATTAACTTTTTCAATCTAAGCATAACGGAAGTCCCAGAAGAGGACAGGGGATAGAAAAAATATTTGAAAAAATAATGACCAAAAGCTTCCTATTTGATGAAAAGTAAAACCCTATAAAGCCTAGAAGCTCAATGAATCTCAAGCAAAAAATTAAAAAAAAGAAGAAAAAAAACATAAAGAAAACTACCATAAATCACATCAACATTAAATTGCTGATACAGAGAGAATACGGGAGGACGACTAGAGAGAAGATATCCAGAGAAAGGAATCCTGAATTGTGTATAAACTTGCACAAGCTTCAGTCTAAATTCTGAACTATGCACGCACAGAACAAAACACACTCAACAGAAACATATGCACATTGTGCCAAGAAATAACTCTCAGAATCTATGGACAGTAGAATGAACAATAAACTGTGAAATAGTCACACAAAGCTCTCTCTCTCACACACACTCACATAAATAATTGAGCTCCAGCCACATGCTACATGAGTCTCACAAACAAAACGTTGAGTGAAGAAAGCCTCAAGAACACCTGTATCTATGAAAGACCCGCAGGTAACACCCACACTTAATGGGGAAAATGACTGGATGCTCCCCTCTAAGATCAGCAGCAGGACAAAGGTGTCTGCTCTTGCCACGTACAAGAAAAAGAAATAAAAAGCATCCATATTGGAAAGAATGAAGTAAAACTATCTCTATTTTCAGACGACATGATCTTGAATATAAAAAATCCTAAATCCACTAAAAAACTTGGTCAACCAGTAAATAAGTTCAGCTCAGCAATGGGACAGGATTCAAGATCAATAGACAACATCAGTTGTATTTCCATATACTAGTAATGAACCGCCTGAAAATAAAATTAAGAAAACAATCCAGCAAAGAGAGTAAAACACCTAGAAATAAATTTAACAAAAGTACATAACTAGGACACTGAAAACCACAACTATCGAAGTAGATGACTAGCCCCAGCAGGTGTGGCTCAGTTGGTTGGAGCATCAGCCCCAAAAGGTGGCAGGTTCCATTCCGGGCCAGGGCACACACCTAGGCTGAAGGTTTGATCCCCGGTCAGGGTGCATGTGGGATGTTTCTCCCTCACATCAATGTTTCTCTCTCTCCCTCTCCCCCCCCAAAATATCAATAAAAGTAGATGACTAGTACACTAAAAGAAATTAATGAAGATCTAAATAAATGGAAAGCCTGGATGGGCGTGGCTCATCGGTTGAGCATCGACCTGGGATCCAGGCAATCGGGGTTCGATTCCCGGTCAGGGCACATGCCTGGGCTGCGGGCTCGATCAATGACTCTCTCATCATTGATGTTTCTGTCTCTCTCTCCCTCTCCTTTCCTCTCTCTGAAGTCAATAAAGATATATTTTAATAAAAAATAAAAAATAAAATAAATAAATAAATAAATAAATAAATAAATAAATAAATGGAAAGATGTCCATGGTCAGGGATCTGAAGACAACATGAAGCTGGCAATAATCCCAAACTTGAACTAAGCTTCAGTGCAACCCCTATCAAAATCCCGGCCTGTTCCTTTGCAGACACTGACAAACTGACCTAAAATTCATATGGAAATGGAAGAGACAGAGAATAGCCAAAATAACATTTAAAAAGAACAAAGTTGAAAAATTCACACTTCCCAATTTCAAAGCTTACTACAATGCATGGCAATCAAGAGAGTGTGGTATTGGCATAGGACAGACATACAGACCAACTGGAATATCGATCTCAATTGAGAGCCCAGAAATAAACTCTCACATTTACAGTCAATTGATTTTCAACAGGGGTGCCAAAACCATTTGACGGGGAATATTCGTTTCAACAAACGATACTGGGACAATTGGATATCTACATGCAAAAGAATGAAATTAGACCCCTACTTTTACATCATATGCAAAAATTAACATAAAGTGGATCCAAGACCTAATATAAGAGATAAAACTCTGAGAAGAAACCGTAAGTATAAATCTTCAGGACCTTGGATTAGGGAACGGTTTCTTAGACACCAAAAGCATAAGAAACCAAAGGAAAAACATGAGCGGGACCTCCTAGACGGTTGCGCTTCAGAGGGTGCTATCAAGAAAGTGAAAAGGCAACCTACCGGAGACAATATTTACAAATCATTCATCTGACAAGAGACTTTATATTCAGACTATGTAAAGAACTCTTAAAATAAACAATGGAAAAAATCCAATTTTAAAATGGGATAAAGATTTTAATAGCCCCAGCCGTTGTTGGTCGGTGGGCTCGCGCACAGAGGGTGCCGGGTTCGATTTCCGGTCAAGGGCATGTGCTGGGTTGCAGGTTCCATCCCTGTCCCACTTGGGGCGTGTGGGGGAGGCAACCAATCGATGTTTTTCTCTTTCTCTCTCCCTCTCCCACTCTCTCTCTCCCTTCCACTCTCTCTAAAAATCAAGGGAAAAAAATACATCTTCCAGGGAGGATTAACAAAACAAACAAAACAAGAGATTTGAACAGACATTTCTCCAAAGACGTACAAACAGCCAGTCAACACATGAAAGGATGTTCTACTTCATTAACCATCAAATCAAAACCACATCATTCAAATCAAAGCCACAATGAGAAACCATTCCATACCCATTAAGACAGTAATTTCTTTAAAAATTCATAAGTGTTGACAACGGAGAAATGGGGTCCCTCATACACTGCTGGCGGGAATGCAAAATGGGGCAGCCACTTGGGAAAACAGTTGGACTGCTACTCAAAATGCTAAACCTAGAGTTACCAGATGACCCGGCAATTCCACTCCAATGAATATATCTAAGAGAAATGAAAACATATGTCCACACAAAAATATGTGCACAAATATTCATAGTACTACTCATAATAGTGAAAAGGTAGAAACGATTCAAACAAATGTCTATTCGCTGATGTATGGATAGACAAACTGTGGCATATTTCCACAATGAAATGTTATTTGGCTATAAAACGAAATGAAGTGCTGATATAAAGTGTTAAGTGAAATAAGCCAATCACAAAAGACCACATATTATATAATTCCATTATGTGAAATGTACAGAACAAGCAAATCAAACAGAAACAGAAAGTTCACTAGTGGTTTCCTAGACCTGTGTGGGCAGGAAGGAGTAATGGGGAACAGGGTTTCTTTTTTTGGGATACCGAAATGTTCCAAAATTCAGTTGTGGCGATGGTTGCACAGCTCTGTGACTACACTTAAAATGGGTAAATTTTATGGTTTGTGAAATAAATAAATAAAGCTATAGAAGAAAAAAAACAAGCACAGACACCT